ACTTCTTCTGAAATTCCTTCTGTTCTCTTTGGTGCTGTTAACAAATGTTGTTATCGCCCTTTTCTTTTTTTACTACGTTTAACCTCACTTACACCTGACCTTTCCCTTCGATCTCCCACCAATTAAAACTGAGAGAAAGAAAGAGGGGTTCAGGGGGTGGGGTGGGCAGGGAAGAACCTTCTAACAAATAAACATAGCCAAAAAAAATGTATGTCTCTGTATTTTGTGTCCATCACTTCTTTTCCAGGAGGTGGCACACTTCATCATGGGACCTCTAGAGACATGTTGTGCTGGTCAGAGTTCTTAATCTTTCAAGTTGTTTTTCTTTAAATTGTTACTCTTTTTGAATGAATTGTTCTCCTGCTTTTTCTTACTTCACTCTTCACTAGTTCATATTAGCCAGAATTCTCTGATTATCTGATGTCCTTTTTTTTTTCTGTGAGGCAATTGGAGTTAAGTGACTTGCCCAGAGTCACACAGCTAGTGAGTGCTATGTGTCTGAGGCGGGAATTGAACTCAGGACCTCCTGATTCCAGCGCCAGTTCTCAATACACTAAGCCACCTAGCTGTCCTTCTCATGTCATTTCTTATAGCATAATAATATTATATTAATTTGTCACAATCTCTTCAGCCATTCTTCAATTGTCTTAGAGTGAATCTAAGGCACCCCATAAGAGTCTAGGTTTTTTTTTTCCTTTTCTCTCCTCATCCCCTTTAGTTTCTCTTTTGGGATTAGGAAGTTTTGCTTGCAATGATTGTCTCCCCAGTACCTATTATCTTGCTCTTGACCACCCTTTTCCCTATCCCTCCTTGTTTTCCTGTTGAGTTTGACACATTCCTAAACCAACCTAGAGTGTGTTCATCTGTCCCACCCTTCTTTATTCATTTCAGGAATGAGATTCATCTGATGTCAACCCTCTCTACTCCTTCATCCACCTTTGTATACACTTCTTTTCAAACTCCACAATTATGAGAAATAACCCATTCTGTCCCCTTCTTCCTCCATTCTACTCTTACTTGAATTTTCTTTTACCCTCCCTTATTTCTCTCTTCTTCAAATCATTAGAATAGAATCCATTTACTCCCAGCATCTTGATTTTTCTTATTTAAAACCTTCATTATACCTTGAAGACTTTAAGGTTCTGAAAGACACTTGTTTCTTCTCCCTGTCCCCAGGCCTATCACAACATCATCATACAGCTCCTTTCAATTGCTTGAATAAATGTCAATTTCCGGTGTCTTCAGACTTTATACTTGTTTTTCAAAGTTCCTACTGTGCTCTGGTCTTTTCATCAATAATACTTGATAGTCTTTTATTTCATCAAAACTCCATATGGAATATTTATAGAGTAAAACCCTTTATTCCATAAAAGCTTTCCCTTTTGGTATATTGTATTCTGTGTGATCCTCTTGTTTGTAGTAGAAACTTCTGAGTCCTGTGTGGTCTGGGACTGTAGGTCTTTGGTACTTGAACTGCTTATTCCTGGAATCTTGCAGCATTTCTTTCTTTGATGTAGACTCTTTGGATTTTGGCTATGGTATTCCTAGGATTTTCCTTTTTATTTTCAGGAGATGACTGCACAGTAGATTTGTCTCTACCTTCACTTTGACCTCTGGTTCTAATAGGCCTGGACTGTTTTATGACTTCTTGAAATATTGTGTCCAGATTTTTTTAAAAAGTCAGTAGCTTTCCAGGGGATACTTTCTTTGGGTATTCAAAGTGGGGGTGGTGACAGAATGAAGCACTGGGAACCCTTGTTGAGAAATCAGCCATCCTTAGAGCAATGAATCCGGCACATGACTGTATGGCTGGCTTCAGAGCTGGTGAGTTACCAAGAGCCCCTGTGAGGACAAGCAGTAGTGACCTACCAGTTTCTTCATCAGTAAAATGGGGGGCTTGTACTGAATTGTCACTATTGCCAATTTTAAATCCTCTGATCTTGAATGAAGCAACAGTTGGAGCTTTGAATATGTCTTCTTATCTGTTCTAATTGAGAAGGAAGAGTAGCACAAGGTAGCAGAAGGGTTAAAGTGATGGACATGAATCTATTGTGATCTGAAGTTCACAATAAGTGGGTTTAAATCCCACCTCAGAAAAGTATGAGCTAGGGGCAGCTAGATGGCACAGTGGATAGAGCACCAGCCCTGGACTCAGGAGGACCTGAGTTCAAATCTGGCCTCAGACACATGATACCTACTAGCTGTGTGACCCTGGGCAAGTCATTTACCCCCAACTGCCTCACCAAAAAAAAAAAAGAAAGAAAAGCATTATCTGTGGGACCCTAGGTAAGTCACTTAATGTCTTTGTGCTTCAGCCTTTTCATGTGTAAAGTAATGAGAGCTTTGAACATGATGGCCCCTAATGACCTTCCAGCTCTCAGTTGATGATTCTATCAAGGGAATACTGGGCATAAACATTTAGCATCCTTCTGAAGAAAACACATGTCAAAAGAAAGGTGAGATCCAGTCCCTTAAGATTTGTAAAATGATCACAGGGCCAGTTTTCTGAGGACACAGGATTGGACAAAGACACAGAGAACGGATGGAGGCAGGGATTTAGATCTGGGATGAATGTCAAACTGCGTCATAAAATCCTAAGGATAATGTCAAGAATCTAAATCCCAGAGAAAAATAAAACATCAGCAAAATGCTTTTCAGGGATTAGTTTTTCCACATCTCTCTGAAAGAGTAGAATAGTAGAGGTGATTCATGTATCACATATGGCCTCAAGGGATGGTATGAATGGTAGAGCTGCCTCCTGCTCAGCCCCCAGTTGGAATGAAGGCTGCTCTCCACTCAAGCTAAGCTCTTCTCACATGCCACCATCCCAGACTCTTAACACTACTGTACCATGCTTACATGGCCAACACAAGACAGAGCATTAATATGGTGACCTGGGAAATTCAGAAAATACCCAAGGAATTTGTAGGAATTGCTATAGCAACATTACCCAATACTAGACAGAACAGTTGGTTGTTGGCCAAGACAAGCTGGCCATTCCTCTTTATCAAAGTACAGGGGAAGCTGGTTGTCATTAAACCCTTAACCCCTTTCTTGAGTTCTGCATCTGTCTAGATGCCTGTGTCTCTACTAATCTCTTGACTTTGGCCCCCCACCAATTAGGTATGATAAACCTCTACAGGTTATTGAATGGGAATAGAAAGGAGCATACGTATTTCTTAGCTGTACAGGAAATCTTCACAAAAATTGACCATGTACTAGGACATAAAAATCTTGCAAAGAAATGCAGAAAAGCAGAAATTTTAAACATGTATTTACAAATCACATTGCAATAAAAATTATATGCAATAGAGTCTTTGAAGCAATAGTTACAAATGAATTGTAGATTGAATAACAATCTTAAATGGGTGGGTCAAAGAACAAACAAATGGAAACTATCAGTAACTTCATTAAGGTAATGACGATGAAACTAACAAAAATTATGGCCTAACCTAACCTAAAAATTATTCACGTTTGTCACTTCTTGGGGCACAGTGAATGTTTCATGACAGCCCTATCCCATGATTTCTTCAGCTGTTCTCCAACTAATGGACCCCCATTTTGTTTAGTCATTTTTGCAGCTTAAAGAACACGGTTATAAGAATTTCAGTATCTGTGGGACCTTCTATTCTGTCATCACCTAGGAGAGGGATCACTGGGCCCAAAGGTATGAAGAGTTGAATAACTTTCCTCACAAATCATTTTCCCCCAAATTGACTGTCTCCTCACTAACCTGCCAACACCAAGCTTTTCTGTCTTTCATCATCTTTGTGATTTTGAGGAGTGTGAAGTGAACATGCATCTTTTAGAAGTACAATAGATATGCCAGTGGCTTGAAGAAAGAAGCCCAAGTTTCAAAGGAGACATCATGGTGCAGTGAAAAGGATGCTCTCTTAGGAGGTAGAGGACTCAGGTTCAAATCCCGTGACTTTGGCTAGTCATTCACTTTCTTCAGACCTCACTCTTGTCAATTGCGAAATAAGTAATTTAGATTCAGTGAGCTCCAACTTCTCTTTCATTTCAAAATCCCTGATCCTATGGAAGGAAAGATCCAATGAAGCTCACCTCAGTTCCAGCTGATTTTCTTTTGAAACTGTGGGAAGAATGAGGCTAGATGATATTCTGAATTCGTCCCATTGACCATTGTGGAGAGTGTGGGAAAGGAGACATACAGCCAACACTGCAATGTTTCATGTCATGAACTTCAAAGAACAAGCAGCTTTTGCAGGTGTTAGCCTAGGCCACTCCTCCCCACACCCCAAAGCCTCATTGTTTTATATTTTACTTCCCAGCTAGCTGCTTAGAGCCCTTATCAGTATGGCTCATTGTACCCCTGGGCAGGGCAAGAATCTGACAGGGCACAGTATGGAGATTAGGTCCCCTGTTCAGCTTCTCTATCTCCTGCTGCTCCGGTTCCCAGGCAAGGAAGTCAATACAAAAAGGAGTCATGGGATGGTTAACATTTTTGTGTTTTTATTTTAGGTCATTCAGAACATATTTGTGGGATGCTGGATTCTTTGCCTTAATTTATTAGAGTATACAATAGAATAGTAATGTGCAGGTGTGAAACCTGGTTAACAATGTAGAACACTGATGCTTTGTTTCTCAACCTAGAAGCCAGTTGTTGGGGACATTGTGGTGACCCAATCTCTACCCTTCCTGTCCATCTCTTTTGGAGAGACAGTTACCATCACCTGGAGGGTCAATCAAGACATTACAATAGGTTATTCTGGTACCAACAGAAATACACGCAGTCTATCAGGTTCCTGATCTATCAGGCTTTCACTCTGCAGCCTAGGTACCTGCCAAGATTCAGTGGCAGTGGATCAGAAAGAGATTTCACTCTCAAAATCAGCAGCATGAAGGCTGAGGATGCTGGAGATTATTACTGCTTGCAGGTCTATAACTTCTCTTTCCCGCAGTGTTTCAGTCTCAAACAAAAACTTCCTTAGGCTGTTCAGTGGCTTTCTGTCACTGAGAGTAGCAGCTGTTTTCCCCAGTCACCACTCAATGCAGCCTTTGCTCTCTGAACAGAAACAAAGTAGGCTGCGCCTCCCCCCACTGCACTCCCTGAACTTCCACTTTTCACCAAAGCAGGTCCTGTCATGAACTCCTGCCCCACCTTCCTGTAGCCAAGGAAGGGCATAGAGTTAACACAGTAGTCTGGGAAATTCAGGAGAAATTAAGGGATATACTACTGGATATTTTTAATAGCAGAGCAGTTCTGATTGTAGTCCCAAGTTCATGTTAAATTGCTGTAACTCCAAATGCAGGTGCAGTGAAGGTCGGGATTATTTTTGTCCAGCTTTGCCCAATCCTATGAACCAAGGTCTGTATCATTGGGCATTATTAGGTAGTGACAGATTCTGGTTCTGAGAGGCAAATCCCAGCTCACAGCTTTCCTGAGTGTGGATGTGTTGTTTTTGGTACTGTCTTGGTTACTCACTACTTGAGTGAACATGGCAAATCATTTGGCATGAGGAAACTAGATGGATGACAGGATGTTATGTAATGTTGACCATGTGATGAACATCCAGCCATTGTTTCTAAGAGGAAAGCACACTCCTTGAACCATACCTGCCATAGTTCCCTATTCCCCAGTCACAGGGAGTACCAATGGCTCTTCGATTTTGTATATCTCTCCTTGAAATTCTGATACGATCTCCCCTAAAGATTCCAGAGATAGGATCAAACCAACAAATACGAGTCAAAAGAAAGACTGGATCCTAGCTCAGGGGGCACTTTCCCTAATATCTATTACATAATATCTTTAGCTATATGTGGTATGTCAGAGCCTCTGACCAGATAAGGGAGCTGACAGCCTGTGTTTTTTTTGTTTGTTTGTTTTTAGCAGAGCACAGCATTCTAGTCACTGTATAAGAAGACAACTGAGATGGTCAAATGGTGGGCCTGAAGAGACAATGCCCCCAAACTGCTACCAGAATGAAACAATGAACAAGAGAAGAGCAAAGCAATTCCCTACAGAGGCAATATGGAATGACAATATTGACCACCTCCTTCTGATTTTCTAAGAATCTTTTGTCAACTGGACCAAATGAGCCTCTAACCCATGGATGGCCAGAGCTGAACAGAGTAGGATAGGGACAGAAGAGTCAGGAATCAAACAGCAGTTTAATTTCAGGATGAGGGAAATGGCTTGCAATCAAGGAGGAAACTTAAGAAATGTGCTGCCTCCCTCTCCCAATAAGGGAATTTGGGACAAATCTCAGTATTTATACCAATGGCTAAGCAGTGAACTGTAGCCCTGACGAGGAGGGGTAACAGCAACGATGAGACAAGTTTGATTCATAGCAGGGATTCATGACCAGGACATGGATACAGCAGATGTTTGTCCAAGCTCTGAGAACACCTGGTGCTGGTCAAAGCAATACAATAATTATCTGAAACAATTCTGGGATTTCGCTATGGCTGAGATCATCCAAAAGGTGAGCGCAAAGGACTGTTGTTATGCTAAGCTCAAGGTTTGCTTGCTGGGCCTTAGCTCTGCAAAACAGGCTGTCTCCTAACAGTATCTTAACATACTGAACTTTCTTTGAAATCATTACTCAGATTTCTGCTTCTGTAATTATGCTTTCACTCCTATGAGAATGTTAGTCTGAAGCTCAAAAGAAGGAATTCTGGATTATTAATCATTTTGTTTGTTAGACTTATTATATTGCATAAATCCAATATTGTGTGATTAGAAATGGAACCCAGAATGTCGCCTTGACTACAATAATTCTCCAGGAATACTGGAGATGGCTACAAAGTATTTTGAGTTACCCATAGGACCATCCACAGGATCCATCCAAAATATTATTTGGAGTCTCCACACCCAGGTCTTATATTAAGTCCACCCAAGCTTGTGTCTTGCCTTTGCCAAAATTTTATTGAATGCTTACGTTTCCTAACATCCATCTCAATCTACCTTGTTTACAAGTTGCCCTCTTGGCAAAATTGCTTAACTGTATATGTGTGATTTGTGTGTCAATACCTGTGCCCTTACCAAAATCCTATATAACATAAACCTTCCAGAGACTAGAGAGGGAGCCAAATCACCTTTCCAACTTGCTCTCCTCCACCAGGCATACTAATAAATTTCTTCTTCATCTAGATTTTGGAGCTTGTTCTCATAAAAAAAAGTGCAACCCCCACAACCTCCTGCCTTTCATGTTTTTTGTTTTGTGTTTCTCTATTCGTTTGTAAACTAGCTGAGGCCAGAGATCACATTCTTTCATATTTGCATGTCCAGCTTAGTACTATGCCTGGCACAGAGTAAGTACTTAATTGATTGACCCCAGTGCCCTCTTCTTTCCAGAATCCATGCTAATTGGGTATTCACACTCCATATTCCACAATGAAGGCAGGGCAGAGAGCTGAAATAGTTATATGGGTTATTCAGGGAAACATGCAGTTTGCTGATAATGAGATTGTGCTTTAAATGGTTTAATCTGCATCACCACATTCACACTAGAGTGGGTGGGGCACTAGCTGACTTTGCCTAGAACTGACAAAGGCAGAGTTTATTTTTCCCCAAAGATGGTGCATCTTAGAAGCAAAATTCTGCAGTCACAGTCATTAAAAGTGATAGGCATGGCAGCTAGGTGGCATAGTAGATAGAGCACCTGGAGTCAGGAGGACCTGAGTTCAAATCTGACCATAGATACTTTAACCCCAATTGCCTCACCAAAAAAAAAAAAAAAAAAAAAAGATAGGCTAATTTTTTTTTAAAGGCAACTGGGGTTAAGTGACTTGCCCAGAGTCACACAGTTTGGTCTGAGCCTGGATTTGAACTCAGGTCTTCCTGACTTCAGGGCCAGTGCTCTATCCACTGCACCATCTAGCTAGCTGCCCCTAGGCAAACTCCATGTGATCCAAAAGACAAGTAAAATAGCCACTTTTGGCAAATGTCCTCAATCCCAACCCTCAAAAGGAAACAATTATATGCTAATGCCAGGAAAACTGCAGAGGATTCCACAAGCTAAATTGATAGAACTATTAGGGGGACGTGAACTTGCACGAATGCTACAGAACTTTTATTAAGCACCTACTATGCACTATGCTATGCTAAATGCTGGAGGCAACTCATTGGGATTGACATAGAGGGGAAAAGAAAACCAGCTAAGACCATTCAGTCACTGAAGAAGTTAGGTAAAGGTGGGCAGGTCAGGGTAGATAAAGGGGCCTGTCATTTCCATATCCCCCAACACAAGGAGGCTGAGGCAATACTATAGACAAGCCTCAGGAGTCTGTGCACTACAGGGAGGAGAGACAACTAAAGACTGAGCAATGGGGGAACATGGGGTGGGGGGGAGCACAAACACCAAAAAGGTCAAGAGAAAAGGTCAGCAGAAGGCCAATCCCCAAGCAGATAAATCACCCAGGGAGATCCTGAAGAGAAGGAAGGATGGGTAAAACCCCAAAGTAAAACAAAAACACGGTTAAGCAATTGAGGAAAGGGAATCAATAATGCCTAAGAAAAGGCAGAATTTTTTACACCCCAAAGGCCATTGAGCACAGTCCCCACCAATATAATCCTGGGTAAAGAGAAACAGAATTCATTTTTTAAAAAATTACACAAATGAATCTAGGTCAGCAATTAGAGCCCCTATGCAGAGTTCAGGACTCTGAATAAAGAACTGCTTCTATTTTTAAATTGTATGTTTTGCTTTTATTTTTTTCTCTCTTCAGAAATCTTGTTGGGTTTGTGCTTGTAGATGTTTTGATATTGTCATCTTGCGAATTTGAGTTTCCCTGTCCTCACAGTACCTGCTTGAGTTCTTTTGTTGCTTGTTCATTTTTCTACCTTATTTCTTGACTTTGGACTTTATGTTAGTGTTGGGCTCTGCTCACCTCTGAAGGGGGCTATTTGGTCTGAGCTTTCATCTTTTACATCCTTCTGCTATCTTTCTTTCTTTTTTTTTTTTTGAAATTCAGTCTTTTACTTTTGTCCCAATTACATGTAAAAAATTTTTAACATTCTGTTTTCAAATTTTGAGCTCCAAATTCTCTTCCTCCTCACTCCCCTCATTGAGAAGGCAAGTAATTTGACACAGGTTATACATGTGTGGTCACGCAAAACACATTTCAATGGAAGTCATACTGTGAAAGAAAACACAGACCAAAAAAACCCATGAAAAATGAAAAGAGTAAAGAAAAAGTATCTTTACTCTGCATTCAAGCCCCACCACTCGTTTCTCTGGAGACAGATGGCACCTTTCCTAAGTCCTTCAGAACTGTCTTGGATCGTTGTATTGCTGAGAATATCTAAGCTATTCATAGCAGATCATCATACAGTATTGCTATTTCTGTGTACAATGTTCTCCTGGTTCTGCTCATTTCACTTTGCATCAGTTCTTGTAAACCTTCCCAAGTTTTTCTGAAACCATTCTGTTCTTTTCTTTTATCACAATAGTAGTCTATCACAATCATATACAACAACTTGTTTGACTATTCCCAATTGATGGACATCCCCTCAATTTCAATTCTTTGCTACAACTTAAAAAATGGCTACAAATATATATATATATTTTACATATAGGTCCTTTTCCTTTTTGTTTCTTCTTTATCTCTTTGAGATACAGACCTAGTAGTGATATTGCTGAGTCAAAGGGTATGCACAGTTTTATAGCCATTTGGGCATATTTCCAAAATGATCTCTAGAATGGCTGAATCAGTATTCAACTTCACCAACAGTGCATTAATATCTCAAGTTTCCCACATCCCATCCAACATTTGTCATTTTCCTTTTCTATCATATTAGCCAATCTGATTGGCATGGGGTAGCCGCTCAGCGCTATTTTAATTTGCATTTCTCTAATGAATAGTGATTTAGAGCATATTTTCATATGACTATAGACAGCTTTGATTTGGCTAAAACTGCCTATTCATATCCTTCACTCACTTACCAATTGAGTAATGGCTTTTTTCTATAACTTTGATTCAGTTTCCTATGTATTTCAGAAATGTGGTTTTTATCAGAGAAACTTGCTGTAAAATTTTTTTTCACAATGATTATGAACAATGTATTTCCTTCTATCCTTTCTCCCATTTATCCTACTCTCTCCCCTTTCACTCTGTGCATTCCCAAGTGTTTTGCTTTTGACTCTTACTTCCTCCCATCTCC